AGTACATATATATATGAATTCTGCTACTTTTATTTTTAAAAATGAAAAAAAAACATATGTTTTTATTGATTTGAGAGAGAAAGATAGACATATCAATGATGAGAGAGAATCATTGATTGGCTGCCTCCTGCACACACCCTAATGGGGATCAAGCCCACAGCCAGGCATGTGCCTTGAAGGGGAATCGAACCGTGACCAACCACTGAGCCACGCCGGCCGGGATATACTATTTTTGACACATCAACATGTTCTTGGTTGGAGACCAATTTTACTGGGCTTGTACTGGTCAAAGATAGAATACTTACAATAATTGCCATGGATTTAAATACCTCAGATATGCTTATACCCATGCACTTCTAGTGATACTAACAAACGCAAGTTGTGTGATGCTGGCACACTGACTTGTTATTCTGATAGTTGGTAAATAAAGAAGAAAGATATCAAACACTGATCTTGCCTTTACTGTACTAGTAGAAACAGTCCCCCAGGCGACTAAATCATTGGTGAGTGGAAGTGTTCTTTGTAGAAGTTTTCTAGTTAATAAGTGAAGCAGAAATGCTCGAAGGAAAATATCCCCATTTTGCATCCCATAATGAACCAATGGATTTGCGTGTTGTGCATACGTCACAAAAACGCGACTTAGGATGAAATGCCAGAGCTCTTTGTGTCCCAACGGGCCTCCAGGTGTTAATTCCACCCTCCCTCTTTCCGTGGGGCCACCTCCCGTAGCTCATCTTGCCAAGTCATGTCACAACCACACTGGCCTTGGGTAGGCACAGGGAGCCCTAGCATTTCCCTCCATCTGATCGGCATGCTCCGTCCTCCGCAGGCCCCTGGTTCTTCCTCAGAGACCCTCCCAGGGGGTCTCAGAGTCCAACTCAGGTCAGAATGTTTGGGTCCCTCGTCTTTAGCACCACTGTTGACGTGTCAGAGCCCATTGGGTTCTGTGTTTCTGTGTAAAACTTGGGAGCTCCATCAAGCATGTATATGCACAAACCACAGCTCTTAGCACCCCACACTCTTGTTCCGTATCACAGTCAGGAGCCCCGTTGACACTTTGCTGTGCCAGGCAGCAGATCCCAACGGGAATCCCACCTTCTCCAATATCTCGCATCTCCATTACCAATACAGAACGTATCCCAAGTGTTCCTGTCCCTGCATTAGTCTATTTCAAGCTTTTCCTTTCCTCACCACTTCTGGTTGCTGACTCTAATCACCGGTGTCACATACCAGGCATCAGAAGGGCTGTGTGTGTGTGTGTGTGTGTGTGTGTGTGTGAGAGAGAGAGAGAGAGAGAGAGAGAGAGAGAGAGAATGGTGACAGAGCTTCCCCTTCTTAGGGAATCACAATGACCTCAGCCATCTAGTGGGATCCTGGAATGGCAGGGTCTTTGGAACCCACGGCTTCATTCAGTTATGCATTCGTTTACTCCTTCATCTCTTCACCCAACTCTGTTATCTCCTAGCGTCCATCACACACACAATGAGATGAACGGATCTTGCCCACTGAGAATGTGCAGTTTCGTGGAGGAGAGAGACTTGCAAAATAAATGTAGAGCTGTGTGGCAGGTGCTAAATATAGTTAGGAAAACACATGTCTGCAGATCGCAGGAAGTCAGTAACTGAATAAACAGGTCAGGGGAATCTTGCCCAAGGAGTGAGATTTGAGGTCATGGTGGGACCCTGAGTCCGTGCAGCCAGCTGGAGGTCACTGACAAGGGGCAGCAAGGAAACACTCTGAGCAAAGGTTTGGAGGCAACCAAGAGAAGCAGGTGTCGGGTCAAGTGCAGATGGTTTAATATGACACAGACAGTGGGGGGGTCGGGGGGGGGCGCACAAGACGTGGGACTTGGTTCAGAGCTGGGCCACCTCCCAAGGCTGTGCCAGGGATAAGGAGTCTGAATTTTTGTCCTTCAATCTGTACTGTTCTGTCCTGAGCCATAGGCAGCTGCTGCTCCCTGGGAACGTGGCTGGTCCAAACGGAGATGAACCACAGTGTAAAATGCACACTGGATTTTGAAGATTAAAAAGAAAGAGT